GCCACAGCGTCCCTTATGCGGGCTTTCAGGTGCTGCAGGTCGTTGATCTTAACCTGGTAGACAATGTGCTTCACATAACCCCACAAGAAAAAATCCAGTGGTGTTAAATCTGGCGACCTAGGAGGCCAAGCGATTGGTCCAAGTCTGCCAATTCATATCCCAGCCATCTCTCTGTCCAGGTGATTCCTAACTTGGTGGCAGAAATGTAGCGGCGCATGCGCGTATAAAAAAACTTTTAGTTTTCCTATCCGATGACATAAACAGGATACGTGTATGACAATTAGTTTCCGAGATATAATTTTTTTTCATTTAAATACCTTTCATCCGGACACCCTATATTATATAAAATTTATTAAAAGCTATTCACTAAATGTTCAACTAATATGGCCATCATCACGTGTGAAACTGATCTGTATCGTTGCTTAGGTTGTTAATACATAGTCCCCTCAATGCGCATGTGTGTCTGTAACATGTATAAATACGTAGTATTCTTGTATGCGAAGTTTGTTATGTGTCGTCCATTTATTTGTTTGTGTACTTACTCGAGATCGCAGGTTGTGCTCCTTCCTGTTGTGTCATATGCGTGTCTTGTTGTCAAATGCTTGCTGAGTCGGACTGCTGGTTTCTTTTATAGTGTGTATGTGTCGCTATCTGGTGTCTAATTCCTGCATTACCTCGAATATCGGGTTATAGACATCGATGTATCGCATTTATCTGTTTGCGGGAGGTGTTTTACTATGTTTTGTATATGAAAAATGTGGCGTATACTACTCGTAAGTAAGACGTATGGACTGCCCACTAAAATATATAGGGCAAACAGGCCGAACATTCCACACCAAATACAAAGAACATGTACAGGACATAATGCATAACAACGGCAACTCAGGATATTCAAATCATATATTAAATACAGGACATGCATATGGAAATATAACAACTGATAATATGAAAGTTATAAAAATAGGGAGAAAAAAAAGGGAAATATCTTAATACATTAGAAAAATACTTTATATATACATATAATGAGTGAAGATGGAGTACACATGAACGACGGGTTAATTCAACAGGTAAATTCCGAAGCGCAAGACCTGGGAAATGCAGTTACAAATAAAACCCGCGACTGGTAGGATCAGACCAGCCACAATGGCTGTGAAGACCTGGGAGAACGCTGCAAGTGCAACAACCTACGTTTTAAAATCTACGAAAAATAGTCATTTAATATCCACGTAAAAGTCAAGAAGCCGAATACATATGGGGGGGGGGGAAAGAAATGGGAATGATTTGATATTTCAATGTGATGTTTAAATCCAAGATCATTTTCCAGTCTTTGAGAAAATATGCCCGATTTATTTTGGAAGTGACCTTCTCAGAGAGAATAGAATGAGAACAAACAAAAATACACAAGATCAATTACAGAGCTCTTAAGGGTAGAGAAAAAAAATATTTGTGCAAGGCGTCTGTTAATAAATGTACTCGTATTTAAAAAAGGAAAAGAAATATATGTACAAAATAGTAATAGTTCAGTCTTAGACTTAAGCGAGATGTTCAAAAATCGCGGGATGACAGCCATGATAGAATATATTTATAAAAAAGTGCTACAGAGGATCGGATGGGCATTGCCTAGGCACTTTTGTATATACAAACAAAAAAATCCGTGGTTTTAGTCCGCAAGCGAACTATACCAACAGAGCGACCGCCGCTTGTCGACGAAATTAGTGCCAACTTTAGCCGATAGAGGGTGTCGCGTGGTCAGCGCAACGGATCCCCACGGTCGTTAATTTCGGTTTCCTAGACCGGAGATGCTATATCCTTGAAATAGTTCCTCAATTATCCTCACGAGGTTGGGTGGACCCCGTTCAAGACCCACTACTTCACAGAAAATCTGGTGGCGCAGGGAATCGAACTGATTTATATATAAAAAATAACCAGTCCGACTCAGCAAACATTTGACATGACATGCATATAACATAACATGAAGGAGCACAACCTTCACCTCGAGTAAGTACAAAAACAAATAAATACAAGACATAACAAACTACGCATACAAGAATTTTAATATAAGAATTTATACATGTTACAGTCACGCATGCGCACTGTTAACTGCATGTTAACAACCTAAGCAACGATACAGAAGCCATCAGTTTCCCCACCCATAATTTTTAACACCTGATGGTGAACACATTGGTCGAAACATGTAGTGTAAAACTTTAAAGTGAATAGATTTTAATAACGATAAATGATACAAACTCCGTCCTAAGTGCAAACAATATACATTTATATGTCTTTGATCTTGCTCTCTTCTACACTACATGTTTCGGCCTCTAACGGCCATCATCAGGTGTATACTCTTACGTTGCTGCCACACTGAACCCAGTCTAAAATTTAACACTTAAAAAACACATTGTTATTTTCTTCGTTATTGTCAACATCTACCTCGTTGATATCTGTCTGGTATGTAGGTTATTTTGCACACGTCAATTTTGATTTTCCTGTAGTAGCACTATAAAATCTTTAGTTATAATTTTAAAATCCTTTAAAATTTTCTCTAAATTTAAAATTTAAAATTGTTAGGGTTACTCGCCCTATGTCTAAAGTGCTGCAGTGGCTAGTTCTTGTTTCCACACTGTATAGGTGTTATCCTGTGTAGTCTTCCTGTGTGCGTGCCGCTGCTTGTCTTTACTACGTGTCAATAAGATTTTAATAAGTTCTACAGAACATTAGCGTTGCGCGTGAGACTGTGGAACTAATTGATATTACTGAGGTAGGGGCTGAACTATCGAGAGGTTGGGGTTCGATTCCCAGCAAGAGACAAGATACTTTCTCTTTTCCGTAAAGTCCAGATCGGCTCTGGGGCTCACCCAGCCAGGGCCTCATTTGCCGGAGGTAAAGCGGCAGGGGCTTGAAGCTGAATGCTCACCTGCATATACTGGAGCTATACCTCCATTCCTCAAACATATCTTCATGGCGTGGTGCTTAATTAATCCATCCCTGGAATAACTTCTACTTTTCTCTGCTCCTACTGGGATACCAACGGATCTAGCAGACATTTCAGTGCTGTTTCCTGTTGCCACCTTACGTTCCTATTTCAACTACCACATACTCCGCCAGAATGATCAGGTCAATTAGGATGATATCGGCAGGCCATGTAGCACGCGTTTTGGCGAATATGAATGCATTCAAGATTTTGGTGGGAAAGCAAGAAGGAAAGAGACCACTAGGGAGACCTAGAAGTAGATAGGAGGATATCAAAATATGTAATAGTAAAATTATTCCTATGCTTAATTAGTTAAGCATTATGCCATGACTAATATATGGGGGGAATGGAGGTATAGCTCCATATTTCTTGACCTCGGCACTAGATGGAGGCGAATGATTAGCTTCACGTCCCTGTCACTCTACTAGCGGTGAGAAAGCCCCGGTACACAATAGTTAAGGGGCTGGGTGGGCCCAGAGTCGGTCGAAAGATCCCGCTTCAGGCGTAAGCTTACGACGTATTCATGGAGCTGAGCCCTTCTTGAGGAGCCACAAATTCTGCAGCTACTCAAGCACTTCCCAACATTTTATGGAACCCAAAGGTTCATTACCGTGTTCACAAGAACCCTCCACTCGTCCCTATCCTGAGCCAGAGCAATCCAATCCAAACCATCCCATCCTATCTCTCTAAGATCCATTTTAATATTGACCACCCACCTACGCCTTGTTCTTCCCTGTCGTCTCTTTCCTTCTGGCTTTCCCACCAATATCTTATATGCATTCCTCGTCTCCCCCATTCGTGCTACATGCCCTGCCCACCTCGTCCTCCTTGACTTGGATCATTCTAATCATACTTGGAGAAGGGTACAAGTTATGAAGCTCTTCATTATGCAGTTTTCAACCTCCTGTCACTTCATCTCTCTTCGATGCAAATATTCTCCTCAGCACCCTGTTCTCAGACACCCTCAGTCTATGTTCCCCCTTAATGTCAGAGACCAAGTTTCACACCCATACAGAACCACGGGCAAAATTATAGTTTTGTATATTCTAATTCTTATATTTTTAGAGAGCAGACGAGAAGACAAAAGGCTCTGGCCTGAATGGTAGCAAGCATTACCATATGAAGTAATTAAGCATGCGGAAGTACGAACACCAGTGGAAATTCGTCCTCCGTAACGGAAATATGAATGGAAGCATAGTGTTAATTTAGTTTTTGAGTCTGGCGCAGACCAACTTTTTAAGACTCAATTGCTCCTTCAGTGACCTGTGTATATCGTTAGCAGTAACCGAGAAACAAATAGTGCCATAAGCGTTTCGGTTTTTGCAATGAAGAGCACGGACAGAGAGTTTCAATGCTCGTGAGCGTCTGTCTACGAAGTTTAACCGTTTTGATAGCCGCTATTCCAGCATGTGGCGGTCTTGTATCTGTATCAGCTATCAGGATCGGATAATTCTGCAAGTCTCAGCAACGTCTCCGTACGGCAATTCGGTCCAGGTCGTAATTATAGGCAAGGTACGCGCTGAAAACTAACCGCGTTCTCGTAGGGGATTTCCGCGGACAGGATCC